GGGGGGGGGGGGGGGGGGGTGTCATTAACAGTATTTGAGTGACTGTCTGAAACAATACTAAAAATACTCAGAGGAAAACTAAGTCTTCAGTGGGTGTTGCGTTTGTTTAATTGGTGGCTGACAAGTGCTAATTTAACTGGCAAAGGATTCATTTCCATTAAGTGCCTGAAGTAAGGTTGGCTGAAAGATTTAACACAGCAGGTGCATGGGCTTGTGTTTGTGTAATTCAGCCGTGTAATTGGCGCACCGCAGCCTCATCCTCAGCAATATGTTTTATGTTGTAACTACCGACGCTGGGATTTTCATAGTATGGCCATTTTAAAGCTGCACTAGGCAAGATTTTTATGTGAGAATCCGCTTGTAAAACGAAAAGCAGGGACACTGCAGATTCACCCTTTACCCAAATAAAGTTTTACTGTCAAGACTAATAGGTAATTATCGCCACAAATCAAGACTTCTAGTGACTGTTCTTGGGGGAAATTTGTAGGCGAGATGTGGCTCTGCATTAATTTGAATGGTAGGGTAGGAATTAAGTAGATTAGCATCAAGGAGAACATAGAATAAATTGTAGGAGGAGAAAACGTTCAGCATTCATTAGTCAGGCGCACCTGTTACTATAATATGAAAACCTGCCTGAGTTACAAACACACCCACCAGGCAAACAGTACTATCAGTCATCAGGGCTGTTGTCACTGAATATTCAGAGTAAAGTTGAACTAGAAGACTAGAAAACTGCCCCAATATTTTTATTTAAATTCACTACCCGAAAAACCTGTGGTTTCACACAAGCCGACCTAATATATTTTTTCCATAGGCAGGCTGGGTAACAGGCTACGGTAATTGCCGCAGTGTTAACAGATCTCATTTCAAAGCTTTTATCTCTACTTATGCTCCTTTTAATTAGCAGAGCAATATTGAAATCATTTGGCTGGGAGGTCTCTCATTTCTAGCCAGTGCTGACTTTCATGGGCTAAAATGACAAACCGGCAAACATTCAGGTGTAATTAAATAAGGTTAATGGCTAAAATGAAACTTTTCGTGTCTGGTTAGTGTGCTCTTTGCACTCTGCACTGAAAGAAACCTCTCTCTGTTACACCACTGTACGGCCACAGGTGTGTTTTTGTAGTTCAACAAGACACAATTAAACTCAAACTCCCAGTAAATGTCAGACGTGAGGTTTTATTTTTTGATAGTAACCGGAATATTTTTAGGTTTTAGACAAAACGTGCATTTTGAATGCATCAAATATTTCTTAAATATAATATTTTAAAAAATAATTAATTGAGTAATGTATGAAAGTTGCAGCACTAATGCAACGTAAACAGTTCATGGAATGGGACAAACTCCTATCCAGGTGTACGTGGAAGGGCTTAAAACCAAGAATTAAATATAAAACCTTAAAACTTCAAAAGGAATATGGAGGAATGGGGATCCCATGCTAACTAGGGTATTATTATGCAGCCTAGTTAAAGCCTCTGATGGTTCAGCACTGCTTATTTTGCCTGGGGGGAAGGAGTTAGAGCTGGCAATGACTTGGTCCCACCTCAAGCCATTGTTTCCGATGATTTCGACATTCCACTAGTCAAACATCTCTCTTGGACAGGGCAAAGGCAGTTATTAATCTCTCTCTTAAGATCCAGCAAGCGGTTGTGCAAAATTGTCTGCAAAATTGTTAAAAGTTAAGATGGTGTCTTTGATAGTGAATTTCCTCCTAATCTGATGGACAAAAGATTCAATATATATATAAGGAAAGATATTACAGCTAACCGTACACTGATTCTGCAAACAAAACTGGTAACGCCCTCAGTATCATTTGAAAGAAGCTATAATCACATGAAATTTTACACACAGTGCCTTTAAAAACTCTCATGCAAATTCAAGAGTGAAGCACAAACCTGTCTGAGAGAGAAGCATTTAGTTTCCCTCAAACTAAGACTTCCATGTTTGTCCAAAGTAAATAGTGAGATCTGGTGTGTGCGGGATGAACAGGGATCGACACATTTAAAATGAGAAGAGAAATACAAACATTGTTGTAAACAGCAGTCCTCGCCATTGTTAGATCTCTATTCTCCTTCATCCCACTGGGATAAATAACTGTGTGTGCTGACGTCACCTTCTAGGATGTCTGTTTACAAGTCCAAAAGACACAATTTTAAACTGTTGCCTCTTGCTGCCATTTGGGGGGCTGCAAATGTGCAAATTTAAATGCTGCAACATTTTTGCATGTCAGACACCGTTTGTCACTGGGAGATTTGCTACAAACTGAAAGACCATATTCCCTGCTGTGTACCCAGCTTTCTAGTCTCACTGCTTTGTTTACACTTTGAATTCTCAAGGTGCTTCCAGTCTGTATGAATGCATTTATGATACAGAGCGACAGAGGTCAGTATAGCTGGAGGTAGCAGGTTTATGTTGTGCAGTTTTCCCAAATGCTCAGAAGAGGTGAAGAAGAGGCCTGACCCCCCCCCCCCCCACACACACACACACAAACTGTTTCAAGCCAAGCCTGCAGAAAGATTTGAAAAGTTAAGAAACTTGTTTGCTACTGAGGTCAAAGGTGTGCGAGATAAATCCGCTGGGTAATGCTGATGCTTTGAACACGTTGTTGCCTTTTTGGCTCGTACACGTATTCTCATTCGAGTAGTTCCACTACTGGGAAATGTGGTTAATAATACCATCTCTGTTTTAATGAAAATGTGAGGTGTCACTATACTCTATATTGTATGCATATAATCAAGCAATAATGAGACACATCAGTGATCCCTGTTGGAAATGTCTTTGTATTTTTCAATTTAGAAGTTAGAACCACAATGAATAAAGACTTTCAGTAAAACCTTCAAATATAAAAAAAAGCAAAACAGATTTAATACCTGGACTCTGTTGTGAAGCATCTGACGTTACCAAAGCTGGTCTCTGTCCGCAGAAATCTTTCCAGTCATCCATGTTAGAGAAGACAACAAAAGAAAACATATGTTTAACTTTCATATCTTGATAAGTCCTTAATTACCAAAGTCAATTTTCAGACAACACCAGACTTTCAGGCCTGTCTCAGAACCCCCGGACCACTAAAAGAAAAACAAATCCCATTTTGAGGTCCCGACAAGTCCCTGAATCAATAGCCCCAGGCTCCAGGCTCCCGGCTCCAGGCAGGTGTGGTGCGGCTGGTTTAAATAATTAAGTACATGGAGAGAGACAGAACTGAAGTCTACGGGTCGTCATAACACAGTGAAGGATACGGGCGTCATGTTACAACGTTAAAAGCAGGTAATTGGAGTGAGTAATTGGCCAGTTTGGGTGCTCAAAGTGGCCTGAAAGTGCTAAGGAGACATGGTAGGCCATTGATTACAGCCCCCCCCCCGGGGGTCCAAGCACCGACTGCAAACATTAGCTGTTTTAGGCAAGGCCGGGGCAGACGACTGTAACAGAAGCCACAGCCTGTTGACCTTGAAAAGTTGAAGTGTGCGAGGTCCGATTCAACAGGTTTGAATATGGTATCATGAAAGCAATAGGTTTTTTTTTCTTAAACTTACCTTAGTAGTTTTGATCTTGTTCCCTGTAGCACAGCTCCAGCCCTTCAGATCAGGAAGAACTTTGCATTCCTCTCCGTCAAGGCACGGATGCATCTGACACCACCACTTCTGCTCCACTATGGAGGCTGGTAAAGAGACGTACCAAATGATGTATCAAGATACCAGCGTTAATTACCCGAAAAATATTGGTTGACGACTTGTTTTTTATGATAAAAACCAGATACAAAATTAAATATAAAGTTATTTAACTATTGCTTTTAATTAAAATGCTGAAGTAATTCATTATAATTGTTGCAAACAAATAAAAACTAAAGGATAATGTGCAAGACAAACTAATGGGTATTGTTTTATCTCATTCAACGACCTGCATGCATCTGCAAAATAACTAAATTTTAAATTTAGTTTATATGACCTTTTATTTCAATTTTAGGACATTTTGTGTTTATGTTTCAGGAACACTTCCCTGACGTCATGAGCCTGAAATGAGGCGTCTCCTCAAATACCAATCAAATCACCATAGCTGTGTCTCATCAAGTCATGTCCCATTTTGACAGCTGTTTCAGGTAAGTGATGTAAGATTTACTTTTTGACTGGCAACATCACTAAATCTATTTTGAGTATTCCAACACACAAGGTGCCGAGAGCCTTGTCATAAATGTCCTCGTGTTCAAGATGGGAAAAGACTCGAGTCATATGACGGGAAACCTTCAGCTGCAGTGAGAACCTCCTCAGTTGCCTCCATAAAAGAGGGCATTAAACTTCTGCTACTCCATTGTACAATACATATTATATGCATATTACAGAGGTCATTATCTATGTTCCACATCCCCTCCACCAGCATTAGTGTTCTTCCTAATGAAGAGGACGGTTATTATAATCCACACATAACACCGGAGCCTCACTAGACTAAATTGCACAGAATGGATACTTTATGACATGAGGGAATCAATTTGTACCACACAGCCATGGTTATAGCAGCACTGTGGTGGAAAACATAGCATCAGGTCAACTGCAAGCAGATGGTGGTTGTGTAACAGCAGCTATTAAAAACCCACAAAGGTTTCTCATGAAATGAAATGGGAGTATTGATAACCAAACATACATAATGTGTATGGGATACATTTCACTTAACAGCTAATGATGCTTTAACAACACAAAGGCAGCTCAGACTAAAAACATCTGGGAGCAAAAAATAGCTTTATACTTTCATTGATTTTATTTCTTTATTGTAGCTGTAAAAAACAAATCCTACAAATCCTTACTTTGACCTTGAGCTCATATGTAAAAATGAACAGAAATGTGTTTTTATATTTTAGAAAGACTTGAAAAGTCAAGTGTGTCTTTTAATCAAGTTAAATGTTAATCAAATTCCTTAACTATAGTCGTGCCAATATTGAAGATTACAGTGTTATGGAGTGTCTTTGGAGTGTGGCCAATGCATGTAGTTCTGGCATGAATGAGACATTAGCTAGTTCAAACAGTACAGCAGATATTGAGTTGTAATTTTGCTGTAAGAACTGCCAGGTTTGGTGTCCTGTTTTTCAGCAAAGGCTGTGGTGAGATTGTACTTAGATATTGATGCTCAGCGTAACTTTGTCTCTTACGTGCAAAGGGTCGCCTTCTGGGAAGGCCGCCATGTTGAACCACC